ACGATACCATTCTCAAAATTATTGAGACGCGTCCAGGATAGTTTGATCTACGGTTCTGCGAAAACAACATTACAAACTTAGGTATACTTACTGGAGCGGTAAGACTACTATTGATTTTTGACTAACATTAGTGATTAGGCACCAACTAGAGGTGAATAAGCAACTATATAATAATAATAATAAATATATGTCTTATTTATTATAAACTAATTGAATTGTAGACTTACATAAAACACTTAGTCTATAGGGCTGTGCTGAGGCCCCATTCCGTTTTTACGACAGACATCGTCGACAGTTCGTCTCCCAAATTAAATCTTTCTTACATACATTTGTCGGACTAAATTTATATTTATTGTAATTAATATTTACAGACATAAACACCGTTCCGGCTATAAGTAATCCTCGAAAGTTATCTATGATATTCAACATGATGTTTATTTTGGCGGATGCCCGTTTATTACGGACGTTAGAAATGTGAATACAAATCCAATTAATGAGAACATTCATTTAATGTTACGAAGACCGAAGACGTCGAGACGGAAGGAGTTGCTTTCTGACTTACCTAGTTATTCTGGCGGGAATGTTTAGGGTTGCCAGTGTGAAAAAAGAAATAAAACAGTTAATTAAAAATAAAGAATTTAAAACAGATGTTTTTGTTTTTCGTTTATTATTTATAATTATAGTAGTAACAAAAAATCTTGATACATGTGTTTTATAATGAATAATAATTCTATTTAACGACACGCGCGCTGTAAACGAACTTCTTAATTGCTTTTTTCAATGAAAGTCGCGCCGAAATTAATGTTCGTGTTATAAAAATTCTAAATTTAAATTTTAAATTCGGCTACGGCGTACGTTTTTACGATTTCAATAACGAGGACGCGTAATTACATTTTATATCTTTTAACCGTAAAATCAGACCATAACATAAAGTTGCCACTTAAAATACTTATTTAATCTCGTATAAATTCGTTTACGTTATTTCGATATTCCACCCATTCCAATAAGAAGCTTCCGTGTTACATGTTTTCTTTTTAACGTTTGGATTGTGATTTTTTTTTATTTACACATCTTCGAATTTTGAAATTTCGGAATAATTTGTATCGTAGTTTGTCTTAAGGCAGCCCTGCGTCTGGCGCGCCGTGCTCGCCGGATGAACACCAAATGTGTGATATTTTTAGGAATGTTGATTGCCTTCTTCCTGTTTCCGGCATAATGCTCTGATCCGCCGCCGCACGCCGCAACGCCGCGGCTAATTACTCACCAATCATTAATTCCCGTACGTTGACACTTATACACTTTGATTGGATTCCAATTAAAATTATCTAAACAACTTAAAATTCTTTAGAAGTAGTCCAAATAACACATCTACTTATCGGCTGGTATAGCGACTGATATAGAGTCTAAGGGACACACATAGTTAAAACTGAAACTGAAATCCGACTCCGCGTGCGGCAGATTCTTTAGCAAAGTAAACTCTTGAAGACAATTTTTATATAGTTACTAGCTTTCGCCCACGACTCCGTCCTCGTGGAATTGAAAAAAAAAACAAAAGCGAGTTACCTATGTGTTTTTCCCAACTATGCTCAACATTTATGCCAAATTTCATCTAGATCCGTCAAGCTTTAGGCTACAAACCATAACAAACATCCATCAAAACTTTCGCAATTATAATATTAGTAAGGAGTAAAATTTCTCATAATGTTTTGTGTTGATTTGTGACGTTGATATGTTGATTACAAAACTGGTACTGTGTTATGCGTTGTGGGGACAATTAGCGGCGTAATGTACTCGTAGCAACAGTAACAATTACCGCCCACGCCCACGCGGTACCACGCCACACCACCGCGGCAACTAGCACTATACGAGTAGTACTACGCTTCCGTCAATTGTTTTGTCAGCCACGCTATTTGGAACGCATGATGACATGCGTACACACACCTCTTAAATTGTAATTAAAACAGCAAATATAACTAACTAGCTGTTCCCGTGCGACTTCATCCGCATAGAATTATTAATAATTTGTTTTATTGTTAGCATGGGTCAAATTATTAATTGCAAATGTCAAAATGACATGACATGATGACAAACCATGGCAACCTTGCTTCCTTGATGTTGGAAACAACTTATGGTCTTTTTCCCACATTAGGGTTTTTATCCAAAATATTTACCCCCCTAAGTTTAATGGCGTGAAAACATATAGCCTAGAGCGTGACGTAAGTGTAGGGTTTTTTAGTAAAAATAGAATTATTCAAAAATATGGTGTAATTGCTGACATCTTAGGCAACAAAGAAGTGTGTGTTTACGCTTTATTATATATTTGATTGACTAAACTATCGAGCAATGTGTGATTATCGATTTTTTCGTTGGCTAAATAACTGTTTAGTTGGACAACTCAAAATCAGGAATCAAAGTGAGAACATTTGTGCGTTAGTTTAGTCAAAGTTGTGCGCGCGTTTTAAACCGAAATAAACGTGAGTTTGTTCCTTTTTATGTACAATATCTCGTTAATAATAAAGTTTAAAGCTAAAACAGGAAACTATATGTTCTTGCGGTAATATTAATATTTTTTTTTGTCAAATAAATTGTCTTGTAAGTTGGAAAAATATGTTATAGATGAATGTGATAGGTCATTGTATAGATATTGCCCGTGTTCAGTATGACGTGCAAGGCTGCCAAGTATAAACCTGCAAGTGGTGTGGGGACGGCAACCGCCCGGGGGTCAGCGCCCTCTCCCCGTGACGTCACCGCATACGTCACTCGGGGACGTTTCAATATGAACTGAATTGACTTACGACATCATTGTTCATCTCAATCTACGTCAAATAATTCGCGCACGTTGGTTTTAATAGTTATATTTAGAGCACGTGCACCTTTGATTAATCTATCGCTCAACTTTTGTGCGATTGTCGATTGTTTCGCAGCCAAAGTAACTGTTTAGTTGCACAATTAAAAATCGAGTAGTGTGCGCACCTCAGCATAAGTTCATAGGCATCAAAACGTTTACAGTTGTGCGATAATTTAGTCTCAGTCATACGAATTAATTTTATACTACCAAGTGATTTATTAAATTCATTCATAGACATTGTTTAACTTGAAATAATTAGTTTTATGAGCGACTGTGAGTATAAAAATACGTTTCTACTATGAGTACGGAAAGCACTTAGTGGCAAAGTAACGACCGCTACTAAGTCTTAACTGTAAAAAATATAAAATCAGTAAAAAGTCAACATCGGACCTGACTGTCCTCCGAGTAGGGTTACCATATACTACTGAAGCTGGTTTAGGACAGATATCTCTTTATGTTTCAAAATGGCCTTCAAAATTCTATAATCTCATTTATTGATTATCAAGTTTTATTTATAACTAGAAGATTAACTATTTTTACTAATCGTTGAGACACGCATATTAAAATCTTCACATAAGAACTTTAGTAAATGTTATTATCCTAAATCGTCATACTAAAGGGCAAAAGTCTGACTATCTTCATCCATAATTCCCTATCCCGTGACCTTAGTAAACAATCTTTATACAATGAAGTTCGAAATGAATTAAAAAACACTATCCCAAGACTGTAGTATTCCGTGGTGACCTTAATGCGGTCCAGCATGACAACTGGGCATTGAAGCGTCACCAGCCAGTTGTGGGGTAGCTGTAAAAAGTGGGCGCAC